CCAGCTCAATGGTAGTCTCTTCATGGTCAGCCGTCGGTTTCTCTTCGGCCGTAGCCTCTGCTTTAGCTTGTTCCTCATTCTGGCCGGCTTCTGTCGCTTTCGTGCTCACTGTACCAAATGTTCGTGCTCTTTCTGTTTTTGGTTCTTCAGTCACGTTTTCTTTCGATTTGAGTCCGACCATCATTGCAAACTTGTCTGTGAAGGATGTCTTTTTCACTTGAGAGTCGTTTTTCACAGTCTCTCGGGTATTGCCTGTTGTGTCTTCCAATGCGTCTATTCGTGAAAACTCCACGGTTTTTGGACTTTGGTCTTCCACGTGGGGCATCGGTGTGGATTCCGTTGTCCTCTTCTCCACTTCATCTACGCTCTGGTCTGGTGTCTCTAGGTCGATTTCGATTGTGGGCTCCACCTGTTTTTCCCCCACATCTTCTCGTGTCTTGCTCTCGGTGCCACTCCTCGTACTGACCATGTTAACTGAAAAGTTCTTCTTTGTTATCTTTGGGCCTGTTGATGTCGTTCCGCGCAGCGATGAATTATATTTCGTGTTTGATCCACTTGACCTTTTTTCGAGCACCGGTACCCTACTCCGCCTCATTATTCCTATTTACAACTGCTTTTATTTACAATTTTATTATATACACGATTCTATTCTAAGAATAAAAAAAAATAATAAAACAAAAAAAAAATTTTTGTGGTAACAAATTTTGTACAACGTGTTAAAAACCTTGTTGTAGCTCTCTTTCTAAAACCTTTGAAAAATTTCCCTTAATGTGGTCTCAACCGTACCTATTTCGATTTGTCTTATTTTGTCTTAAGACACACTTGTTGTAATTTTACTTCAATTTTTATACCGTCCCAAGACTATTCGTCACTATCACAGTACTCTCCGCTAGTGTCCTAAGACCCTTGTACCAAGACTACTGTCCCAAGACTAGTGTCCCAAGACTACTGTCCCAAGACTAGTGTCCCAAGGCTAGTGTCCCAAGACTACTGTCCCAAGACTACTGTCCCAAGACTAGTGTCCCAAGGGTAGTGTCCCAAGACCAGTGTCCCAAGGCTAGTGTCCCAAGACTACTGTCCCAAGACTAGTGTCCCAAGGCTAGTGTCCCAAGACTACTGTCCCAAGACTAGTGTCCCAAGGGTAGTGTCCCAAGACCAGTGTCCCAAGGCTGGTGTCCCAAGACTACTGTCCCAAGACTAGTGTCCCAAGGGTAGTGTCCCAAGACCAGTGTCCCAAGGCTGGTGTCCCAAGACTACTGTCCCAAGGCTAGTGTCCCAAGACTACTGTCCCAAGACCAGTGTCCCAAGACCAGTGTCCCAAGGCTAGTGTCCCAAGACTAGTGTCCCAAGACCCTTGTCCCAAGACCACTGTCCCAAGACCACTGTCCCAAGACCCTGTCCCAAGACCACTGTCCCAAGACCCTGTCCCAAGACCACTGTCCCAAGACCCCTGTCCCAAGACCCTGTCCCAAGACCACTGTCCCAAGACCCTGTCCCAAGACCCTGTCCCAAGACCACTGTCCCAAGACCACTGTCCCAAGACCCTGTCCCAAGACCACTGTCCCAAGACCCTGTCCCAAGACCACTGTCCCAAGACCCTGTCCCAAGACCACTGTCCCAAGACTGCTCTGTCCCAAGACTTCTTCGGTACTGTCCCAAGACTCGTCACGGAGTGTCTTCCTCGTTGTAGGGTCTTCTTGAGTCACCGTACCTTGTACCACCACTCAAGCTCTAGTAAAATTTTCCCAAAAACCCTCTCTTAAAAGCCAAATGCTGACCCCTCTCTTCTTTTTGGTTGTTTCTATTTCAATGTAGGTGCGCAGGTATCTTGTGATCACCTGTTCGTATAAAACCAAACACAAATCCTCACTAAAATGCAACAAAAATCTAAGTGAGAAAAATAATAAAAACAGAAAAATGAGCCCACCTGAAATTCAACGGTGACCAATGTCTACCTTTCGTCTAAAAAAAATGTCTGGTACCTAATTGCCACGCGTTTTCCTCCCCCCACTAGTGATCTTATGGGGTATCACAAAAGCTGTCTATATCCGGTCCCCCCTACCAAACCAACCAGCGTACCAGTCTTAACTCGAGTTGAATTTTGGATATTCACCTATTATCACCAACGCGTGTTATGGCTAATGTAACTAAGTCAACGATGTCGATTAATTAGTTACTCTAGTTTCTCCCCTTTTTACAATTTGCAACCGCTCACCTCTAGCCTAACCAGTCCCCCTTCTAACCTCCCCCCTTTCTAGCCCCCCTTCTTAAGCCTAAAAATTACTTTAAGCGCCGGGTGCTAAACCTCTCAAGAGAAAACCGTAGACCTGTTTCCAGGCCTGCTCAAGTAAAAACGTTCCTCAAAACTGGGGGATTTCGCTTATCCAATTTTACACTTATCTCCTATAATGTAATGTGGATTCTAACGATACCCGTTCTGCCCAACTTGAGAACTCGAGAACTGTCAAATCCTTCTTGGCTGCTTTCCCACTCGACTGGTCACCTGTTCCAGTCCAGTCTCCTATTGGTTCAGCTCAAGTGTTCCTGAACCAGTTTCCCACTCGGCCGGTCACCTCTTCCAGTCGAGTCTCCAATTGGTTCAGCTCAGGTACTCCTGAACAACCCTCCCACTCGGCTGGTCACCTCTTCCAGTCAAGTTTCCTTGTTGTCCAGCTAAGTTCCAAACTATCTGAAAACCCTTGACAACGCCCCACACTCGGGCACTTTATTACGGTTACTGGGTTAAATTGCTAGGTTGATCGAAACGATCGAACTTATAAAACAGTATGGGTATACTATTTAATTAATATAAAGGTTTGATCCAACTGATCTGGTGTCAAAGTCACTGTCTTTTTTCGTTTTATGGTTTTTGTTCCTTTTTCTATTCTTTTTTGGTTTTTTTTTTGTTTTGCTTTTTGTCTTTTTGCTCGTGTTTTTGTCCCCTATTTGCCCCCCTTTACTCGGTTAGCTAAGCTTCGTTCGGAGAGCGTACCAGGAAGTTTTCTTGAGTTTTCTTAAAAAGCTATCACGGTACAACCGGAAGGTTTGCACGTTCCTGTCGAACCGTACCGCCGGTACTCTAGAATGGGCATTCAGCCCGAAGCTGTCTCAAGTGGGTTCGACTCCGTAGTCTTGATGTCGTAAACACCCAGGAGCGCCATAAAAACACTATGTAACATTCGTCTACTGCAGTCACACATGAGGCTTAAGAAAAATAGGCCCTATAACCACTGGCTCAAGGGTCAGGGACACTATCTCTTGTGTTTTTCTACCTCAAGAACGGTCGGAGCCAGTTCGGTTCGTTTGTGACATGAGACTACGACCCGTTACAGCTTAGAGGCTACTACTAAAATATCCCCCCACTCTAGAATTAGAAACGTCCCCATACTTAGGTCTCTAGGTACCCAAAATACATGAACGCCGTTAAAAACCGGGTTGGAACAATCCGTTAAGTTACTTTTTAATTAGACAGTGGAACTTTGATCCATTTCAGATGGATCAACCTAAAACTCGCCTTACCTCAACATAACAATCATAAAACACACTCTAGGAATTTAAATTTGTACTCACATAGTAGCACGCTCAAGAAGTGGGAAATAATCCAGTCGGTAGTTAACTCAAGAATTAAATAACGTAACTAAATGAGTCTAATGTTTTATAGTTTTAACAATGAGAACGAGTTTATACTCTAGACAATAGTTTTCTTGTGAACCATTAGGACACTCAAGCTGTCCACCTTTCCACCGAAGGTTCACTCTAGTCCAGTTCCGAATAATACTCCAGTCGCTATAATCCAATTTGAGGGAATGCTCTCGTCTCTGTCACAGATGGGACAGCTCTACTCTCGATTATTATAGTGATGGAAATTGCGAATAGCAATTTCCTACTGCTTTTTCTTACAACTTTCCCGCGTGTGCGACTCAATTGTTCTGAAATTGTTCTAACTTCTTTTTCTGATTTTCAGTTCTCGCGAGAAAATCGTGAATGACAGGTTCCATTCGAAATTTTGAAAAATTAGATTTCACTCCAAAATCAAGTGTTTTTTTGCTCCTCTCAAGGTCAAACTTCCAAATATGACCGACTGGCACAAATGGGGGGCAAAAAAGCCTTCACCCGGGGATATACTTGAAAAAAAGTTAGATTTTTCTCTTTCAAAATAGAGAAATCAGAAGGCAAAAACATCAACTATTTTGCATGTGCGTTTTTTTAAACATGATTTTTGGGTGAAATAGAATTTGTTGAAAAGTCGAATTGAGCCTATCATGCTCAAGCTTCTCGCGAGAACTAAAAACAAGAAAATAATATCTCTTTGCGAATAATAGTGGTTAGAGTTTGTTCAGCTGGTGTTTGGCATGACCATGAAAAATGATGTTTGGGATCATAAGACGAGTAAACGTAGCAATTGGTAATTGGGTGGACTGTCATAGTGTAAATCAGAGTGGTTTATTCATTGCACGAAGAAGAGATGCGATGTTTGTCCTGAGTTTTATAGTCAGGGGTTTGAATGATAGCGCTACAGCCATAGAAAAATGAAATTGAGAGTTACATGAGTAAACTTATACGATTTACCCAATATGTGTAAAACGAGCTTCCTGCCAAAAATAGGAAGACGAGAAAAAGTTGAAAGATTCGCGGTTAAGAAGATGGAAAATAACTTGACCTCAACGAGCTGCTTCAGTAATTAAAAATGCCTAACAAAGTTCCTTCCTATCCATTTCGGTGGTATGTGGGTACAATGAGAGCTATTTGCTAAGCAAGTATTACAGATTTTTCAAACCATTAAGAGTCAAAGAACGTAGTTTCAAGCTCTTTTTTCACGAAGAAGCCTTATAATTGTTCACGCTCAAATTTGACTTTTCCCGAAAAAAGGTAGGCTGAATACGTGATGAAGGGACTCCTGACTATAACCTCGGTTACTAAATGTACCGGTACCTGGTACCTGCCAACACTATACTTTTGACCTTCTGATTACCTTAAAAAAGATTCATTTGCTTTAGGGAGAATATGAGTCAGCAAAAGCCAGACGGAACGCCGAGTGATTCATCAAGCAAGTCGATTTCTTTTCTCCTAAACCGTTTAATAGTCATATCGACAGTAACCTTTGTGACATCTGAAATGGTGGTCAATGATGTTAATGTCCTAAATTGAAATCAAATTGGTTGCCCTTTTTGAGCTTTCTACCTGATTATTATAGCCAGACAAATCGTTTGGAATCCTTTCTTAAATATTTCAAAAACTTATTATTCCGACCATTGAAAATGGGTAGGAACTTTGATTCGGGTGTTTTAGTTTTTTCCACGCAAAATCAGCTATCGCAAAAAATCATCGGACAGGGTTGAGTGATAAATCATTGTAAAGCCCTTTCAATCGTGATTAGAACGACATTACAAAATTTCAAAAAATCTGTGTCGAGAAAAACCGGTGTAAGTTTTTGATTTCATTCCTTTTTCGAGTTAATTAGTCAGGCAGTTTTTAATTGCAAAAGCTTATTCTAGCTTAATTTAAGCCGTTAAAATTTAGTTTACTCAAGTAAAGGTAGTTTTTGGAGTTTTTTATCGCAATTTCAGGAATCAAAAATTTGAATTTAAAAAAAAAATTTTTTTTTTGTTTTCTATTAATTTTTCTTCAAAAACTGTTTTCCAATTGACCTATCTTACTATGATTCTCAATTATGCATATATTCTACTTTTTCGTTCAGATCTTTATATCACAACATGCAATAAAACGACACCAATTTGAAAAAAATATATATATATTTTTTATAAGACTGGTCGGACCATTGTGCTACTTGCACAGTAACCGGTTATCCTTATTTCAAATTGAATCCGTCTATCCTTTGGTTTTCAAAGTCTGCAGGCTGTTAAGCTTCATTTCTAATGATACTAAAATAAGCAACTTCACCTGATTTACAATGATGAATGCATTACACTGGAAAATATCACTTAACAAATTAACAGCCGGAATTAATTTACATGTCTCGAGCTAAATAAGAGTATGACAAGATTAACTTACCGATATGGCGAAAACGCTTGTTGATTCGTCATATTCACCAGGACCAGTAAACTTATTAAATAGATAATTAAATGATGGTCAATACATGGCGACTAAACAGTTGTTCAGATAATGATACATTGTGTCCTCATTGCACGAAATTGGTACTAGTGTTGTTCATCAGAAAAGAGATACTTACGTAAGCGTTGGGAATTGATCCAAAATGGTCATCAAAGGTCAGAATTTAAAATTAAGAACATTGAGTTTTATATAAAAAATGCTATAATCGAGTGTTCACTATCTCCAAATTCGTTTTCTAACAACTTAAATTTTTTATTGTTCAACATTAGAAGCATGGTTAATCTCGAAAAAAGGAAAAAATTAGCCAACTTCGTCAATACATTTGGTTTCGATTTCTTCTTTATTGTGGAAACATTGCTGACAGATAGTTTTGAAGACGAAGAACTATTTCTTGCCAATTTCAGATTTTTCTGTTTGGCAAGACACACACGTGACTTTTCTTTATCTAGGATTGTTCTAATTGGAGTCAAGTCTACGTTCCTAACCGCAAAATTATCGATCGTATGCATTGCTGGTATAATTGAAGGATATCTGTTTCTCATAAGTGGGAAAAATATTACTGATTTTAGCTTATAACCATCCGGACGATTGTCCTTATTACTAAACTTGAGAACGACTCACTCCTGTTATTTATGATATAGGGATAAAGTGCACTGGGTTGACTTCTCATCAAACGATGCCTCGCAGCAAAGTTTCATAGATTTGATTATAGAAAAAGACATGGAACAAATAGTTGACTTTAACACGCGTGCAATCGGTACCCTAGACAATGTTTTCATTAGTAAATATATTGAAAAACAATCTTATTACAAACAACTGGTAAACTTAATAATATGTCAAATCATATAGGAGTTATTTGTCAATTTAGCATCGGAATCATATGTCAATTCATGTCGGAGTTATTTGTCTATATAGCATCGGTATACATCAAGCTTTACAAGACCAAATAGAAAAATTGCAAAATTCAGCTGCTGTAGTGGAGATTACAATCGGTTATAGGAGCTTGTAACAGATAAGCCTTTCCAAGGTATTTGTTGGAGCAATTCCAATATTCTCTTAGACCAAAGGTTTGCATGGGTATTCGAAATAGTGTATTTGTAAATCAGTACTGCGTAGAGCAGCTCAAGTCGTCTTTAGCACCATGGATCAAACCGGCCATATCAAATTTCCTAAAAAAAAAACTTAAAACGCTCAAATTAAACAAGGTGTTAATTTAAACAAATTATCTATGCTACAAAACCAATGTTTGAAGATGATTGAGGAGGACCCAACCGAATTTGAAAGCAACCTAGCTAATAACAGATCTACAATGATTTATTTAGATATTCTCGGTCCTTTAAACAAAGGTTACCATCTTTTGTTTATCTCAAAACAAAACACGCAATGGACCCCTTTATGCAAGCCGAGTTGTTTTCCAAATTTTCTCTTTCGTATTTTTTGTTCTTACACATTTACTCTACCCACTGACTATCCTAATTTACTGGAAACCACTGATTTCGACATATCGGAACTCACTATTGAATCAATATGCTTGGACTAGACAAAAAAGGCAAAAGCCTGGACGGGATTCCCGCAATTGTATATAAGAACTCTAATAGAATCATCAGAAAAGAGATACTTACGTAAGCATTGGGAATTAATCCAAAATGGTCATCAAAGGTCAGAATTTAAAATTAAGAACATTGAGTTTTATGTAAAAAATGCTATAATCGAGTGTTCACTGTCTCCAAATTCGTTTTCTAACAACTTAACTTTTTTATTGTTCAACATTAGAAGCATGATCAATCTCGAAAAAAGGAACAAATTAGCCAACTTCGTCAATACATTTGGTTTCGATTTCTTCTTTATTGTGGAAACGTTGCTGACAGATAATTTTGAAGACGAAGAACTATTTCTTGCCAATTTCAGATTTTTCTGTTTGACAAGACCCACACGTGACTTTTCTTTATCTAGGAGTGTTCTAATTGGAGTCAAGTCTACGTTCCTAACCGCAAAATTATCGATCGTACGCATTCCTGGTATAGTTGAAGGATATCTGTTTCTAATAAGTGGGAAAAGATATTACTGATTTTAGTTTATAACCCTCCGGATGATTGTCCTTGTTACTAAACTTGGGAACGACTCACTCCTGTTATTTATGATATAGGGATAAGGTGCACTGGGTTGACTTCTCATCAAACGATGCCTCGCAGCAAAGTTTCATAGATTTGATTATAGAAAAAGACAGGGAACAAATAGTTGACTTTAACACGCGTGCAATCGGTACCCTAGACAATGTTTTCATTAGTAAATATATTGAAAAACAATCTTATTACAAACAACTGGTAAACTTAATAATATGTCAATTCATATAGGAGTTATTTGTGAATTTAGCATCGGAATCATATGTCAATTCATGTAGGAGTTATTTGTCTATATAGCATCGGTATACATCAAGCTTTACAAGACCAAATGGAAAAATTGCAAAATTCAGCTGCCGTAGTGGAGATTACAATCGGTTATAGGAGCTTGTAATAGATAAGCCTTTCCAAGGTATTTGTTGGAGCAATTCAAATATTCTCTTAGACCAAAGGTTTGCATGGGTATTCGAAATAGTGTATTTGTAAATCAGTACTGCGTAGAGCAGCTCATAGGTCGTCTTTAGCACCATGGATCAAACCGGCCATATCAAATATACTAAAAAAATTTGGAACGCTCAAGTTAAACAAGGTGTTTATTTAAACAAATTATCCATGCTACAAAACCAATGTTTGAAGATGATTGAGGAGGACCCAACCGAATTTGAATGCAACCTAGCTAATAACAGATCTACAATGATTTATTTAGATATTCTCGGTCCTTTAAACAAAGGTTACCATCTTTTGTTTATCTCAAAACAAAACACGCAAAGGACCCCTTTATGCAAGCTGAATTGTTTTCTAAATTTTCTCTTTCATATTTTTTGTTCTTACACATTTACTCTACCCACTGAATATCCTAATTTACTGGAAACCACTGATTTCGACATATCGGAACTCACTATTGAATCAATATGCTTGGACTAGACAAAAAAGGCAAAGGCCCGGACGAGATTACCGCAATTGTATATAAGAACTCTAATAGAATCATCAGAAAAGAGATACTTACGTAAGCATTGGGAATTAATCCAAAATGGTCATCAAAAGTCAGACTTTAAAATTAAGAACATTGAGTTTTATATAAAAAATGCTATAATCGAGTGTTCACTATCTCCAAATTCGTTTTCTAACAACTTAAATTTTTTATTGTTCAACATTAGAAGCATGGTTAATCTCGAAAAAAGGAAAAAATTAGCCAACTTCGTCAATACATTTGGTTTCGATTTCTTCTTTATTGTGGAAACATTGCTGACAGATAATTTTGAAGACGAAGAACTATTTCTTGCCAATTTCAGATTTTTCTGTTTGACAAGACCCACACGTGACTTTTCTTTATCTAGGAGTGTTCTAATTGGAGTCAAGTCTACGTTCCTAACCGCAAAATTATCGATCGTACGCATTCCTGGTATAATTGAAGGATATCTGTTTCTAATAAGTGGGAAAAGATATTACTGATTTTAGTTTATAACCCTCCGGATGATTGTCCTTGTTACTAAACTTGGGAACGACTCACTCCTGTTATTTATGATTTAGGGATAAGGTGCACTGGGTTGACTTCTCATCAAACGATGCCTCGCAGCAAAGTTTCATAGATTTGATTATAGAAAAAGACAGGGAACAAATAGTTGACTTTAACACGCGTGCAATCGGTACCCTAGACAATGTTTTCATTAGTAAATATATTGAAAAACAATCTTATTACAAACAACTGGTAAACTTAATAATATGTCAATTCATATAGGAGTTATTTGTGAATTTAGCATCGGAATCATATGTCAATTCATGTAGGAGTTATTTGTCTATATAGCATCGGTATACATCAAGCTTTACAAGACCAAATGGAAAAATTGCAAAATTC